TGTATTTAATTAGAACAAATCAATCAATTCATCAATCATCAAGTGGATAAATGTTTCTACAATAAATATTTCTCAGGTGGATAAATGTTTCTACAATAAATGTTTCTCAGGTGGATAAATATTTCAACAAAAAGGAGTTTGGGCTAATGAAGTTTTATTATTTAATCTCAATAATGCTGTTAGATACAAGAGCATAAGTAAGAACAATTTCTATTTTTTATTATAATTTATTATATTATTTATTTATTATAATTTATTAAAATTTATTATTTTATTGACTAATAAATAAATAAAAATAATAAATAAAAATAATAAATAACAAATAAATAAATAATAAATAAATAATAAATAAACAATAAATAAATAATAAATAATAAATAAATAAGAATAATTTATTTAAAAATGCATTTTCAATAGCAACATTTGAACGCACCACACACAATGAGCCGTGTTAACCATTTCCTTTCCTCTCCTAATTACATTAATTGATGAATTGATGAATTGTTCCCCCCAGGGCTCACCAGTCCATGATGTTGGTGGACAGGGCTGCAGAGAAGCCCAGGATGTTGAAGCTGATTTCGGTGGCTGTGCACAGCGCCAGGCCCCCCATCACAGGGAGCAGGGACAGGTTCACCAGCAGCCCTGCAGGCAAAAGGCAAAAATCTTCATTTGTTATCATTTTATTGCAGAGAATTTGGAATTCCCAACAGCAAAGGAGCACACTGAATTTCAGTTTTTTAAAGCCACAATAATTTCTTGACAGAAAAAATAACAGCAAACCCCTTCCACCAAACCCTTTTAATGCTACAAATTCATTGGAGATTCTTCCAGATGCATTTATTATATTTTATATAAATATAAAATATATATTTATATATATTTTATAATGCATATAAATATATTTATATATTTATATATATTATAAACATAGATATATTTAATATCTATAACATATATTTTCTATATGTTATAGACTATATATTTCATACTATATATTACATATTATGCATACTATAGAGAACATATTGTATCTTTAATATATATTATATATATTATAATATTTTATTATATTATATATTAGTATATAGTATATATATACTATAAATTATATATAGTATATATAGTATAATTTATTATACTATATTTTATTATATTATATATATTATAAATATAATAAAATATAGTATAATTAAATGCAGCATAATGTTATATGATATAATACAATGATATAACATGGTATGATATAATATAGAATATATAAAATGTAATATGTTATAAATAAAAGGTAATACATAATATGTAATATATATAACAGATAATGTGTAATATATAATATGCAATATATAGTATGTAATATAATATATATTTGTTGTGTAATATATAATATGTAATATAATATGTAATATGTAATATATAATATATAATATATAATATATAATATATAACATATAACATATAATATATATAACATATTATATATTACATATATTCTATATAATATATATTATATATAATATATTACATATTATATATTATACGTTATATATGATATATAACGTATAAAATATATAATGTATAATACATAATGGATATTGAATAATGGATATTTATATTCTCTATTATATTATTATGTTATATTTATTACATATTATTAATTTTAGTGGCCAGACTTCCACCCCAGCCAATTAAGAAGAGGTTAATTAACCTCATGCCAGGCCTCACCAGTGTATTCCCCCAGAATCATGCGGGACATGAT